ACACACCCACATAGTCTCAACACACACCCACATAGTCTCAACACACACCCACATAGTCTCAACACACACCCACATAGTCTCAGCACACACACCCACATAGTCTCAGCACACACACCCACATAGTCTCAGCTCAACACACACCCACATAGTCTCAACACACACCCACATAGTCTCAGCACACACACCACATAGTCTCAGCACACACACCCACATAGTCTCAACACACACACCCACATAGTCTCAACACACACCCACATAGTCTCAGCACACACCCCACATAGTCTCAGCACACACCCACATAGTCTCAGCACACACCCACATAGTCTCAACACACACCCACATAGTCTCAACACACACCCACATAGTCTCAGCACACACCCACATAGTCTCAACACACACACCCACATAGTCTCAGTCACACACACCCACATAGTCTCAGCACACACACCCACTTAGTCTCAGCACACACCCACATAGTCTCAACACACACACCCACATAGTCTCAGCACACACACCCACATAGTCTCAACACACACCCACATAGTCTCAACACACACCCACATAGTCTCAGCACACACCCACATAGTCTCAACACACACCCACATAGTCTCAGCACACACCCACATAGTCTCAACACACACACCCACATAGTCTCAGCACACACACCCACATAGTCTTAACACACACCTACATAGTCTTAACACACACCCACATAGTCTTAACACACACCTACATAGTCTTAACACACACCCACATAGTCTTAACACACACCTACATAGTCTCAGCACACTCCCACAACAATCTCGCCCCCCCCCCCCAACCCGTGTTCATTCAAAACAGGAATTTAAAAAAATATAAATTAACATTGTTATATATAAGCATACTGTACATATTTAGGCATTGGTTAGGTTAGGTGTTTAGGTTCTGTTGGCGACTATATTAATTTGAAGTACGTGGGTGAAGCATTTATAGAATTGTGGTTCGAACAGAGGACGTGTGCGAAGCACTTCTTCCAGAAGTGTTCGGACGTCATCTGTTGTGAGTCGTGTGTAAACCGCTTTTCATTCATAAACTGGGAGGGTTTGGCGGCTGGATTAACGAGTTTAGATCTTTGTATGCAAGAACGGGCTAGAGGACGGGTTGTTCGTTGACGACTTTTGTTCGAACCACAGCGCTGTAAACAGCCCGTCCGCGCATACAAAGATCCAAACTCGTTAATCGAGTCGCCACCCCCCCCCCCAGTTAATGATTGAAAAGCGGTTTACACACGACTCACAACAGATGACGTACGAACACTTCTGGAAGAAGTGCTTCGCACACGTCATTTGTTCGAACCACAATTCTATAAATGCTTCACCCACGTACTTCAAATTAATATAGTCGCCAACAGAACCTAAACACCTAACCTAACCAATGCCTAAATATGTACAGTATGCTTATATATAACAATGTTAATTTATATTTTTTTAAATTCCTGTTTTGAATGAACAATTGAACAGCATGTTAAAATTGATGAATGCGTCTTTGGGGTTGAGCACTGGATGGAATGGAATTGGTCCGAGGACGTGCTGCACCCCCACACAAACAGTCTCACTCTTCCCCCCTCCCCTACACAAACATGTAAATGAGTACATATACACACAGCAAGAATATACATTTAGTGCCATAGAATTCTTCTTCTAGATAAGTGCGGGCGCATTGTGATTTTAATTTATTAATTTGAGTTAGTCCCTCGTATATAGACATGGGTAACTTTCTTCACCTCTCGTCATCAGTATTAATGTTGTTACCATGCTCGGTTGTTTTCTGTGTAATATTTAAGAGCAGTATTAAAGCTGTGTAATTCAATTTACATAAGAATATGTGCCAGTTTTGTATGCTTTTGGTGGCATTTCTCCGAATCATGAGCTCTAGCGGTATTTTCTTGACATCAAGTTCATCTAGAAAGGTTTGTATGTTATTATGTAGATTTCTTTTAAGATTCATTTATTTAATTTAATAAAAAATTAATTAAAGTGTTTTACTTTTCTAAAACTGTTTTCATTTAGAATCTTTTTTTTTTTTTACATGTTGTGGCAAATATGAGTTTGACCTTGGATATATCTTGGGTAAATACCTTGGGTATATTTTGGGTATCCCTTGTGGTATATCTTGGGTATCCCCGGGTGTTGATGACTACACTAAGAGTTTAGTTTAATCCTGGACTACAACAAAGTTGATAGTTGGTGAGTTGATAGTTGAATTGTGCTGATTTTAATAACCCTCAAGCGGTTGATAGGTCTTGATGGCCTCAAGGCTAATCAAGGCTACACCAAACTATCAGACTCAGACACCACAACTTCCTCAGTAACGGTGTATATATATATATATATATATATATATATATATATATATATATCCGTACGTGGCCACTCCGTATGAATCCTATCTACACACTTGATTTTGATATTCGCCATATAAACAAAAATGTCATATTCTCACTGCACAAGCGAGGAGCGAAAAGGAATAATCGAATAATCTTTTCCCACTGGTGTGTGTGTGTGTGTGTGTGAGAGAGAGAGAGAGAGAGAGACTGACTGACTGACTGACTGACTGACTGACTGACTGACTGACTGACTGACTGACTGACTGACTGACTGACTGACTGACTGACTGACTGACTGACTGACTGACTGACTGAGACTTTGAGACTTTGAGACTTTGAGACTTTGAGACTTTGAGACTTTGAGACTTTGAGACTTTGAGACTTTGAGACTTTGAGACTTTGAGACTTTGAGACTTTGAGACTTTGAGACTTCGAGACTTCGAGACTTCGACTTCTTGAGGCGCCCGTCCAGCAGAAGGCGACGCCCACACAGCGAGGACCGTTCGTGAATGCTAACCTGGTTTTTGTTGAATTATTTTATTATGAGCCTCGTGCCCTTCATGAGGGTAGTGGCAGAAAGGTTAAGAGTCAAATAATGGGTTCGGGAACTTGATCGTAATGATCTGATAAGCTGTTCATATTTGTAAGTAACTAGTTGCACAAACCTTGCATTTGTCTATCATGTACCACGTGTGAGTCCAGTGGGCGGAGGTTGTTAGATTATATCTGCTGAGGATACTGACACTGAGGTCAGTATCTGTTGAGGATGGTCTCCACTGAGGTCAGTATCTGTTGAGGATGGTCTCCATTGAAGTCAGTATCTGTTGAGGATGGTCTCCACTGAGGTCGGTATCTGTTCTAGTTGGTCTCCACTGAGGTCAGTATCTGTTCTAGATGGTCTCCACTGAGGTCAGTATCTGTTCTAGTTGGTCTCCACTGAGGTCAGTATCTGTTCTAGATGGTCTCCACTGAGGTCAGTATCTGTTCTTGATGGTCTCCATTGAAGTCAGTATCTGTTGAGGATGGTCTCCACTGAGGTCAGTATCTGTTCTAGATGGTCTCCACTGAGGTCAGTATCTGTTCTAGTTGGTCTCCACTGAGGTCAGTATCTGTTCTAGATGGTCTCCACTGAGGTCAGTATCTGTTCTAGATGGTCTCCACTGAGGTCAGTATCTGTTCTAGATGGTCTCCACTGAGGTCAGTATTTGTTCTGGATGGTCTCCACTGAGGTCAGTATTTGTTCTAGATGGTCTACACTGAGGTCAGTATCTTTTCTGGATGGTTTCCACTGAGGTCAGTATCTGTTCTAGATGGTCTCCACTGAGGTCAGTATCTGTTCTAAATGGTCTACACTGAGGTCAGTATTTTTTCTGGATGGTCTCCACTGAGGTCAGTATCTGTTCTAGATGGTCTACACTGAGGTCAGTATCTGTTCCAGATGGTCTCCCCTGAGGTCAGTATCTGTTCTAGATGGTCTACACTGAGGTCAGTATCTGTTCTAGATGGTCTCCACTGAGGTCAGTATCTGTTCTGGATGGTCTCCACTGAGGTCAGTATCTGTTCTAGACGGTCTCCACTGAGGTCAGTATCTGTTCTAGACGGTCTCCACTGAGGTCAGTATCTGTTCTAGATGGTCTCCACTGAGGTCAGTATCTGTTCTAGACGGTCTCCACTGAGGTCAGTATCTGTTCTAGATGGTCTCCACTGAGGTCAGTATCTGTTCTAGATGGTCTCCACTGAGGTCAGTATCTGTTCTAGACGGTCTCCACTGAGGTCAGTATCTGTTCTAGATGGTCTCCACTGAGGTCAGTATCTGTTCTAGACGGTCTCCACTGAGGTCAGTATCTGTTCTAGACGGTCTCCACCGAGACCACCCATGTCCTAACAACATTACTATACAGTACCTGGAGGAAGGATGTTGGTTATATCCGAAAATTTGCTTTTTAATTAATTTAATTAATACACTTACACTTATATTGGGTCTTTCCTTCACCTTCATTGAAGCACCACAGCCATGTAGTAAGTTTCTCCATTATTATTATTATTATTATTATTATTATTATTATTATTATTATTATTTGGCATGCTTGTAATATCACCAACATCCCGAGGACGGCGCTGGAAAGGTTACAGTCACCCGCATTTGCTATCTACAATTAGCAGACTGGATATCTAGCTAAAATTTCTAATAATAGAGAAATTTTAATTAATTTACACATTTTTTTTAACATTACCCAAGAGCGAGGCTGTCCGCCCGATCACCTTTTATGGCAGACATGACCCAACGCTTACCCCAACAGACTGAGTGAAGTGTACGTCATTCTGGTGATCGCGTATGTACACACGGTACACTGATGTGTACGACGTAGGTACGCTGATACGGGCGTATGCATGTGCAGTGTCCGGTTTGCACGTGCAATGTCTTTTTTACACGCGCATTGTCTGGTCTGTATGTATAGTGTTATATTTTGCACGTACATTGTCTGGTCTACTCGTGCAATGTTTAGAATGCACGTGCAATATTTGGCCTGCACGTGCAATGTTTGACCTGTACGTGCATTGCCCATAACACCTGCGCGTGTAGCTGAATTACACTGTAACCGGAAATCTTCCAAAAGAATGTTCAAAATACGTGGTTTCTTATATTTTTATTAAATAAGTTATACAAGTGTCAAGCTAACCTTGACCTTAAACACGCTTATTGTTCTCAACATGTGTACTGGTGCGCACTGGGGCTACGGGTCGTGCAGCGCTGGGGTCCTGAGGCTACAGGTCGTGCAGCGCTGAGGTACGGTGCTGGGCGGGGCAAATAATTTTACAGCCTGGAGTTGTTTGCCGAAATGAATGTAACAGGACGTCTGGAACACCTTGAAAGAAGGCGGGTTAGTGAGAATGCAAAGGGGTGAGTAGCTATAAGAATATCAGGATCAGGAGATAGAAAGGAGCGAGTGCTAATCGGGAAGTAGGGGTTAAATGACAAGCAAACAAGATCAGGTGGCTTGGAGGGAGACATAAAGAGATAAGAAAGAAGCTGGCAGAATTAAGCTGCAGAAGTGGTCGAGTGATGGGAGGACCAAGCAATAGGCAGGTAGGCAGGATACTGCATCTAGGCCGTAGAGTATCGAGTGAGTGGGGTATCATGTGAATTGGAGTATCAGTAAATATGGAACAAGGTTGGTAGGAGGCCAAGGGTACGCAGGTGGTAACTACGTCCTTGGTGATGGATGGATCGTTCGTCTGTATGTTTACACAGTGACCCTGAGGCCTGGCTGTGCTCCGGCAGTTCCTCCAACACCACCAGCAGCACCGGCGCCTAGTCCAGTGGTTGGGTCGAAAGCTGCAGGGTTAGTGTTGAAATCCCGGATCAGCTGCAGCTCGAGCAGCTGGCGACGACGTTGGAGTTCTTGCTGGCGGGCCTTAAGAAGTTGTTCTTGCTGTTCCTGGACGTCCAGAAGTTCAGATACATCGCGGCCGAATTCGTCCAAAATCTCTTCAACCTCTCGTCCGAACTGGTCGGTGAAGTGTGCTGTACCATCAATATCTACGAACTGCAGGTACAGACGTGTTAGTAGGATTTATATATATATATATATAATGCCTGGAGACCGTTCAGGCTTGTTCGCATATATTAAACCATATGTATTCGAAAACTATATGTATTAAACCAATGCAGATTTAGATAGGTTAGACTAAGGATTCTATGCTGTGTTTCAAGGTTAGATTTTATATATATAAATTTTAGCAACTCCAGATCATTAGCTTTTAATCTACAAAAATCATGTAATAAATGGGCAACAGAAACAAGTACAATTTAGCTAAGAATAACACCACGGCGCTGGTGAAGACCGTAAGAGACAAATGAACATTAGTAAACTAATCTGAACTCACCACTCGGATGTTAGGGTTTGTGGCGGCGATCCGCTGTGCCTGTTGTGCCACTAACGGGTTGAGAGGAACGGCCAAGGGGTTGTTGAGCCCTGGGCCGTAGAAGGCTGGTCCTAAGTTCTGTTGTCCGGGGGCGAGTCCAGCTGCAGCTGGGGCTGCACTAGGAGCAGCTGGGGCTGCACTAGGAGCAGCTGCAGCAGGGTCAGCACCAGCAGTGTCCTGGGCTGTTTGGGCTGAAGCCACCCCAGCTGCGAGAAGCACACACACCTGCCGAGCCACAAAGTCGTTAGTCATCACCGAGGGGAAAATAATTACCGAGGGAACCCGTCACTCGACGCCCAACACTGGAAACTGACCACTGTGGTGGCCCACCACTTGGGGATCCCACTTATGTGGGACGTTACTGGTGTACTTTCATTGAAAAAGCATACTACTAAGATAATTAAGGTACATTGGTAGGTTTTCATAGAAAAAAATATATTTAAGCTGATGTAACCATCAACCAAATGAACTGAACTAACTTTCCACCACGAGAGGCTTGGTGCCTTCTTTTAATAATTACTTCCATCAAGATAACTGAGAGAACATTTGAAGAAACGTCATATACTAGGCAGTGACCCTGAGGCCTGGCTGTGCTCCGGCTGTTCCTACAACACCCTCCGATGCTGATCTAACGCCTCTTTCCTTTGTGGAGCCTTAACTGCATGAATCCACAATGGGGGGGGGGAGAGCCACCGGAGCAAATTACCACTAGGGCAATTAGACATTAGTTGAAATCGACATTCCGAGCATTCAACCCGTAGCCAGCCCGCCACCGAAGAAGCCTGCAGCTAGGAAATATCCAGCACTCTGAGAATCATCACTGGGAAAACACTTAACTAGAGAAGCCTCCACTGACGACAGCCTCTCTACACAAGCACCCACCAGGCAGATACCATACCAAGAGGCAAGAATTACACTAAGCACAAGGATTTCTGTATAGAGACGATGAGTCACAATAACGTGGCTTAAGATATAAAGACACACCAGAAAATGAGATGACGACGTTTCGGTCCGTCCTGGACCATTATCAAGTCGAGTGTTACTCTTATCACAATCGACTTGATAATGGTCCAGGATGGACCGAAACGTCGTCGTCTCCTCATTTTCTGGTGTTTAGTTTAGTCTTCAATTCTGTATAATTCTGAGTTTCGTAATATCTATATAAAAAGTGTTCAGTAAGGCGAAGTAACCTTTCGAACAACTTAAAAAAAAAATACTTTAGGTAAAGTTGAAGAATATATTAAGAACAGGAAACTGTAATTTACGTCACAACCTTGCTTATGTAAAACACACTTTGTCGGATATTCATTCAGTCTATTTTTACTTCACTGAATGAAGTATGAAGAGCAGTTTTACTGAACATAACGTTAAATTTTGCTTTTATTTGCCAAGGTCTGACTTTAATATCGCAAAGATTTGAACTGTTAAAATGTTCACAACGCTTGTGTATGCTATAAGAGAGAAGGGAAAAGTGGGGAAAGTGGGGGTAATGGGGAGCACCAGATGATGGGGATGAGTGCTGTATGGTTGTATATATATATATATATATATATATATATATATATATATATATATATATATATATATATATATATATATATATATATATATATATATATATATATATATATATATATATATATATATATATAGGAAAAGTGAAAAGCATGACTCGTATCACGGAATAAAATGATCTTGGTATAATTTATATTTAAAGACTTTCTCAGAGACGTATTCTAGCCAGAAGCATATTAGCCTCACACTGTCTGTATTAATATCACACTAACTGTATTAACGTCACACTAACTCCTAACACATTCATTAAACCTATGTTGATGTTATACTTAAGCAGCATTAATGTCATACTAACTCAGCATTAACGTCACACTATGACAGCATTAATGCCATACTAATGCAGCAATAACATCACACTAATGCAGCAATAAGATCGCTCTTATGTGGTATTACTGTCACACAATTACAGTACTATACCATCACGCTTATGCAGCATTAAAATCAAATTAATTCAGCATTTACGTCACTGTAACAGCATTACTGCCACACTAATGCAGGATCAAGATCAGACTAATGAAGTATTATGTCACACTAATACAACGTTAACATCACGCTAATGGAACATTAACATCACGCTAATGGAACATTAACATCACGCTAATGGAACATTAACATCTGACTAATACAGCATTAAGATCACACTAATGCAGTATTCATGTCACTAATACAGCATTAACATCACACTAATGAAGCATTACGTTACACTAATGAAGCATTATGTCACACTAATGCATCATTAACAGCACTCTAACACGATGTTAGCGTGTTAATGATAATCATTAACGTCACACTAATACGGCACTAACGTCACAATAACGCATCATTAATGTCACACTAATGCGGCAGTAGCGTCACACCAACGCATCATTAACGTCACTAATGCGGCAGTAACGTCTCGCTAACGCATCATAAACGTCACAATAATGTGGCACTAATGTCACATTAAGGCTGTACCAACGCCGCATTAGCCTCTCACACCCACGAAACCATTGCATCGCACTAACGCACACCATTTTTTACTACAGGTCGCACTAACACCACACACTGGCGCCACACACACTGCTCCTTAACTTACAATAATCCTCATGGTGAAGAAAGCCGTAAGAGAGCGAATGTCAGGAGCAGCACTGCGCCTGCCTTATATACGCTGTGCGACGCGCGCTGCAGTGCCAAATGTCAGCGCGCAGCCCTCTGCCCTTAGCCAAGGTTAGGTTTTTGTTGCACTGGTGGCGGAAGAAACAAAGAGTCCCTGACGGCAGTGGATCCTTCGTCTACAATTGGGCGCTACCTTTTCACCGTCGCCTAGGTCTATCCCCTAATCCAAGAATAGAACTAGTTACATTTGTCTAATTGTTCAATTCTCCAGGTATCTTGTGGAGTAGATTTCCAGGGTATTGTATCTCCTATAGCTGTGATTCCAGTTGTTAATTAAGCAGCGTCTGTGAAGCTTCTTTTTTTTTTTTAACTTGTACTGATATTTTTGCTTCACCAAGGCTAATCATTGTTGAGATGTCAACTTAGCCTTTGTAAAACCTACTCGAATATCTATTATTCTGTGCTCTCTGCTACCTTCGTTTTTCAATTGTATTGTATGTTAACGTGTTTTTAATAATAGATGAACATTATGCCGGTGTGACTGCAGCGTCCTTCTTCGATAACTGACAGTATGTGCTACTTCTTAGCTTCTCGTAGTGAAGGAGAAGTATTGTCTTGCGGGAGTCTTGTGTCGGATTTTGAATGTAAATTTATACTGTATAGGATTTATATAATGAAAACACGATTAAAGTGTTTTGAACAGAAGAAACTATATTCTGAAGGTCATTGGATTTGACTTTTAAATAAAAATAAATGCTTGAGATATTTCGTGACATTTAAATAAAAACAGGTGTCTGAAGAATTCCCTAACACAGATCAAGCGATTTTAGAATTCTGACGGTATGTACTTAGCTAGTCACGGGTTGAGGTTGGCTACCGGGAAGTGAAGTCTAGTTTTTGTTACAGTTATCATCACCTGACACACCTCATCCCATTTGTCAGGTGTGTATAGGTAAAAGCACCCAAATTTTTTTTTATTGCACTTGAAGGGAGACAAGAAGTCTAATTTTGACATTATTTATGTTTTAAGTTTCGGCTGGGAAGCAGCCCGTTCTCTGAAGTGTTCCCAACGTCAAGAAACTGTCGTACTGAAGTGCCTTATCCTAACACAGTCTTATCCTAACGCAGTCTCCGTGGTGTAGTGGTAAGACACTCGCCTGGCGTTCCGCGAGCGCTATGTCATGGGTTCGTATCCTGGCCGGGGAGGATTTACTGGGCGCAATTCCTTAACTGTAGCCTCTGTTTAACGCAACAGTAAAATGTGTACTTGGATGAAAAAACGATTCTTCGCGGCAGGGGATCGTATTCCAGGGACCTGCCCGAAACGCTACGCGTACTAGTGGCTGTACAAGAATGTAACAACTCTTGTATATATCTCAAAAAAAAAAAAAAAAAAAAAAAAAAAAACACGAGTGACACTGCAACGCTTTCTGTCGAAGTTTTCAGAACGAGATCTGCAGGTTTTAGACCAGAGAAACTCAGATTTAAGGTGAGCACCTAGTTTGTGGGCTTGGAGACTAGGCTCAGTGACGGCTGCCTCACAATCTTTCCACATCGTCTGTGCAGCTGAGCGATTGATTTGATTTGTGCCGCCGGAGGTGACTAGTTTATTGTGTACCCCGTACTCATCCTGTGAGCGGTAGCACATAAGGAATAAGGACGGCACAAAAGGTCTTTATCAGAACTTAACGAAGATCATTACATTAACAATTTCATCTATCCTTCACACCTCATAATTATAATGTCAGCTAGTTACAGGGACCCCCTCCCTGTCTGGCTCGATGTTGCCGTGAGGGGGGGCTTAGTGGGCGGCTGCTGGAGTGTGATGCTCCTTGGGACAGTCCTCTGTCGTTATGTACTCACCTAATTGTGCTTGCGGGCACTAATTAAGCTGTATATATATATATATATATATATATATATATATATATATATATATATATATATATATATATATATATATAATATCGGCTTGTTATTTAAACCTAATGGCCTGTTAGCTCAGTTGGTTAGAGCGCCGTGCTAATGCAACCCGTTCTCGCAAATTCGTAAAGTCAATATTGACTTATTAACTACGTGCATAGGTGATATACTAAACATAATAGATACCCTTAAAAAGATTCATAGAAAACACCGACCTTACCTAACCTTGTTAGTATCTTAAGATAAGCATCTTATTGCTTCGTAATTACAATTATTACTTAACCTATACCTATTATAGGTTAGGTAATAATTGTAATTACGAAGCTATAAGATGCTTATCTTAAGATACTAACAAGGTTAGGTAAGGTCGGTGTTTTCTATGAATCTTTTTAAGGGTATCTATTATGCTAAGTATGTCACCTATGCACATATTTAATAAGTCAATATTGACTTATTAAATTTGCGAGAACGGGTTGGCTAATAACGCGGATGTCGTGGGTTCGATCCCCATACGGGCCAGGAGGCTTTCTCAAGGGAGAGTTGTTTTACCTGATTAACCAGGCTGTGATTCATACGTCAAGCAGCCTGCGTCAAACATCCTGGTTGACTACTCCAGCAACCATGAGGACTGGTCGGGGACCGGGCCGCCGGGACGTTGAGCCCCGAAATCATCACAAGGTAACCGTAAGGTTACGTTGGTCCTGTTCACACTCTCTGCAGCTTGCTTCGGGTTCGTATGAGAGTTCTTGTCTATAATGACACTTTTTATATTTGATAGTGCAAGATTATGTGCAACATGTCTATATATACTGCAAGCTTGCTTGACAAGAATATCAACTTTATTTTCATGTTCTTTGGAGCCCAATCATGTGAGGGGATCCACAACCATTTGACTCTGACCCCTTTAGTTAAGTATGCACACTTCTGAGGTTGAGCGAAAAATAGAATAGGGAAAACAACTTTAATAACTAAGGTAATACTAGAGTAAATAAGAGCTAATTAAACATATAATAAAGTAAACTACAGCGAAGAACACTAACTTATAAGAGTAAATATATAAGTTAATCCGTGATGACAATAATAAACTAAAAGAAAACTGCAGTAAGTGACCACATTAATAAATTTTAAAATTAAAGACTAGAACGTATATCTGTGTCTGGCTTCAAAGACGAGCAAATTACAGTTTGATTGTAACTTATTAAGAGCTTGTAATGAGAAAAATAGGGAGAGAGTTTGAGATAATTAAGCTGTCTGCTGCAACATTTTCAGTCATTTTCAACATTAAGAAAAACCAACAGTTAACGTGTTGGGTGGATGGATACCCACTCATTGACACATTGTTGTTTGTGTTACTGTTGGGCTGTGTTGCTGGATTCTTTAAGATTCTTGAAATCATGGCTTGCTTGGGTAATTCTTTATAAATTTTGTGATCAAAGAATACAATTGAAAATAATATATAAATATAATTTATCCTAATTTTAACTTGTGTTGTAATAGTATACAAACAGCGCTTATGTTAATTATAATGCAGTAATTGTTATTCTAGAGTAATTGTAAATGAAGTGTAAACTACGACGTAGAAATTGTAGTACTCTGATTTAAATATATTCATAAAACGAGGGGGCGCCCGGGATTGAACCAGGGACCTCTCGATCTGCAGTCGAATGCTCTACCACTGAGCTACACCCCCTACAGATTCCTTGGTGTGTTGAGCTAAAGACATATTATAGTTAATAATTTATTATATAAATATTGGAAGCGTTATTATGGCAGATATTTGTTTATTTACCATTTATTTAACAATGTAAATTTATTTTATATACACCGCTGAACGAGATACGTACACTCCTCCGTGTATTTATGTCTTGTGTCTTTAGACAATTTTAAGTACTGGTGAACTTTATGATGATAAATATTCTTGAATATTTTAATGTTATAAACTTTCTAATTCTTGAGTGATGCTATATAAGGTCATAAACTTGAGTTACTTATAAGAATGAATTAAAGTAATTGAAATATTACTGTTAGTATTTAAATACAAAATGAGACTTCACCAAGAAAGCCTCCTGGCCCGTATGGGGATCGAACCCACGACATCCGCGTTATTAGCACGGCGCTCTAACCAACTGAGCTAACAGGCCGATATTTATTGGGATGGTCAATAACTTTAAAGTAATTTAATTTGATATTCGAAAATCCTTTAGATAAATAATTTATAATCATTTATATAAATACATTTTTCTATACATATATTTATATCAAGGAAATACATCCTAGATAATGTGGTGAAACACGAATACGTTCAGAATTTTTGTTTAATTTTCCTAGTGGATACTTACGCAAACCCGATTCTCGTGTTTGTGTTTTATATATATATATATATATATATATATATATATATATATATATATATATATATATATATATATATATATATATATATATATATATATATATATATATAGTACACCGGCTGTCTGTGCCCCGACACAATAAATTATCACTATATACTTTACTTAAAGTAACTTAAACAAAGTCATGACATTACGCCTTCTTAAAAGGTAATACTTTACATACAGTAAACCGACTGTTGCACAAAATAGGCAGGTTAGGGGAGGGGGTTAATGGATTTGTTAAAGGACGGAGCACAGCAAACTGTATAGTTAATTACTTGGCTAATGACACAGCTAAGTACTGTGTATTTGTTGACATCAAAGGAGCCTTCGAAAAAGCACAGGGGATTGCGATCCTAGACGAGCTTGCATGCATAGGTGTCAAGGGGAGAATCATGAAATGGGTTGAAGCCTACCTCACAAGGAGGAAAGCCAAGGTCTGCTTCAACGGAGCAGTTTCGAAAACAATGAATATGGAACTCGGGACCCCCCAAGGAGGGGTCTTAAGCCCCACACTATTTAACATACTTATGAACGCCATTGCAGTTATTGAATTTCCGGAAGGAACACAACAAGTGGGATATGCAGATGATGTTCTAATGCAAGCTCCCACCTTGGGAAAAATTAAGCAGTCCCTTTAACTCCTTGGAATGAAATGTGTTGAACTCGATTTCACTCCCTCCACAAACAAGACAAAAGCATATTCTCATCACAAGAGGGGAGAAAATGAAGAACTCTAAATTAATGGTATAACACTTGAAT